TGGGATTATGCATTTTTAGCAATACCAGATTGCAGATTGTCAGAAAGGCTCTCCTTACCAAAGCTAATGAGCATCGGAAGAATTACAGAATGAAGTTGGCCACAAGTGAGGGTCAGGCCAAGTCAAGTTTGGGTGACTGAATTTAAATGTATCTTTTATATTTGATTTTGGAGTTTTTGTTCCTTAGAAATACGTTTTTCGGTGCTAGAATTTCAATTTGTTGATTGATTTCCATTAGATATCTTGCAAACGGTATTGTTACGATATCTTGCAAATGATTGAGAATAAAAGCAAAAGGATTTATTTTGACTCCAACTAATTCGCATTTTCTGGGAGGATTCTAAATGATTAAAGAAAGTATAGTTTGAAGTGGTTTCTTGGGTGGCATTATTGACCTGTTGAGGTAAGTGTCATTCAAATGTATAGTTCACTGTTGCTGAACTTTTTTTTCTTTGTTTATGTATCACTGATAAGTTAAGGGGTTTAAATTTTAATATTATTTCAGATTGTTGGATTTTCACATGGGTTTCCTTATGGCATCATTGACCTGTTGAGGTAAGTGTCAATTTTCTACCCATGGTGTTAAAAAAACTGCATGCTGGTGATTTATTCAAATAATTGTTTTCAATAACTCCCAACTGAAAAGATATTACATTTATCTTCTGGGAGTTTTGCAAATTCACTTATAGCTTTGGAATTTGTTTCCATTTTGACCTATTTCTTGGTGGCTTTGTATTACCTTTCATATGTAAACTTGGGTATGCCTATCAAAACTCTTAGTTTTAAATTAAACTTTCAATCTTTCATATATGTCTAACATTTTATATGAAAAAAATAATATTTTATTATTATTGTTATTCAAAGGCATATCATTCTGTCTTTCCCTCTTTATTATCATTCTCTTTCTATGCCACTATTGTCAATGAATTGTTGATTCAAAATGTTGAGAAACTTTATTTGATTTGATAGAATTTTGTACATTATTTTTCAATATGGCCTTGGTTTCTAATTTTTTCCCCCTGATATTTTCTTCTCAAGTATCCAATTCCACCTTTTGACTTTATTGTTCATAGAGTTACCTCAATGTTAGTGAATGTGCATAAATATAGGTTGCCTCCTAAATCTCTAAATAAGAAACTAAATTGTAGGCCTTTGATTTTGTTCTGAAATTGCCTAGGAAGAAACTGTGATGAAGTTCAGAGTCAGTTTAGTTGAGCATAATTTACTGAACTTCTTGGCTTCTTTAAAAGTTATCCAAAGAGAGCATTGGAATTTCTACAAGTATTTTCTGTCCCCTTTGGATCTATCCTTTCGTACTTCTAAGGCCTCATTTCTAAAAAATATAGACACCAATTTCTCTTCTGGTCAATTATAAGCACAAAAATGGTCCATTAAGATAGCTCTTACCAG